ACCTGGCAATGAAACCACCATGCCCAGTTATTTTACAGAACCGCCTTTTAACCTGAGTACCACTGCAGAACCAAGCATCAATGCGACGACAGAACAGATGGGCAATATAACGACCCACGTGCCTGGCAACGAAACAACAATGCCCGGTAACTTTACAGAACCGCCTTTTAACATGAGTACTACTGCACAATCCATCATCAATGTGACGACTGAACAGCCGGGCAATATAACGACCCACGTCCCAGGCAACGAGACTACCGTGCCCAGTAACTTTACCGAACCGCCCTATAACTTCACTACTTCAGTTCTAACAGGAATGTCAACCAACACCACTGAATTGTTCAACGTTACTACACACTTTCCGTGGATGGCAACAACAGATGCATCTGGGTTACCGAAGGATGAGACACCTAACTTCAAAGGTGAAACCTTTTTACACCCTTTTCCGATTTTATTCTTTTTATAACTTCCATCAATATGTTCGACAATATGACAGGATAAGAGCAGTGTCCATTGTACACTCTTTCAATCGATCGGTCCCTGTGTGATTTCCCTCCGAGTTATCCGCCTCAAGGGGAAGCAGTTCATTTTGCTAGTAGCGACCCTGCAGAGTATGCGTGCACTTTATAGACGTTTGTGAACCAGAGAAGTGCATTCCCGATTAAAGGAGCCTCCATTGCTAGGAAAATTGTGCCCTCTCTAGGTCCAACTCGGGGTCATAGGACATGAAATATTTCACCAGCCAGTGAACACGTATTAAAAGAATGTCTAGATTACTGTGAGGATAAATGTGAAGCTCAGCTGGGGTTCCATTATTTTATTATATTAGGACACAGACACCACATTTCAGGCAATTCAATTTATGACAGCGAAACCGTAAGAAAAACATTCAGGGTCAGCCATGAATAAGCAGATAAATAAAGGGATTGGGCATCAAGAAATGTGGTTGTGAAATCTTTTTTAACAACGTAAAGACAAAAAAATCGGCTGTCTTGAGGTTTTTCATTTTCTTCCTATTGTTCTCTTTCGTCTTCCAGGAAAGCCTAAGAAAGTTATCAGAGTTGAGGTTGCTATTTCAGAGATCTCGACAAAATGCCGACCGGCAGAAAACGCAACGTCGGAGTATTGCAAAGCGTTATCTTCGTACTTCGTGAAAAAAGTGAGTGTTATTCGTTGAAATCAATGAAGAAAACAGCGCCACAATTATAACTTGACACCTGACATTGTAAACATGTGGGATTAGGGCCTAATACGTTTCTTTCCGTTTTTGAAGGCAAAAGTTTACTACAAAAAGATAAACGGATTTCAAGCGGTTCGCTTGGCTGATGAAATGAGGTAGGTTCCCAGTCGATGTTTACTTTAGATTTTGTTAGGATATTGTGCAGGTTTTATTATGAGTTAACAAAAATCACTGAAATTCAGAAATTGGAAAAAGGGCGAATCCATCGTCACTTGGAGCTTTAGCCATTCCCTTCATTCACGATGTTTGTTGTCATGCAGGGAAGGCAGTGTGGTAATTCCACACGTAGTTGTGTACAATTACGTAGCAATGCTTCCACAAGATGAAGACCTTTCAGCCATGGCGGTTTATCAGCGAACGCTGGGACGAGCAGTTGCTAGGGGAAGGCTTGGCAACCTCAGTTTGGAGATAAACTGCAGCACTTGCGTCGAGCCTAGAGGTAAGAATTTCCATTTTGTCAGAACCTTGGCGAGCGGAGCCTTTGGTTCATTTTTGTTTACGTTTTGCGCTTTGTTACATGTCAGCTTCAATGAGACTCACAATTTACAGCGGTCTATGTATTTGGTTGATTCATGAGGCCTTATTTTCGGCTCTTGGTCCAAGAAAAATCATCAACTTATCAGACTACTGAACTATTATTTCAGACTGCCATTTCAGCCAAAACATCTGTGAGCTGGAGATATAATATGCGCCCTCTAGGCCTACATCAACCAAAGGTGGCCATATTATTTTGTTTATTGGTATCATTTTCGCACAGCCATCTCAACTATTTTTGCCGACCAAACAAACTGCTTTAGAAAAAAATCAGTCCATAAAATTGAATAGGAATGTCCTTGGAGATCTATCCTTTACCATGGGCAAATCTGAAGCCGAACCGAGAAAAGCAGTTATGGTTATAATATTGGAATATTAATTTTACGGCGCCTGTGTATCAGCGTCCCCATTTTCCTTAGCACGGTCAACAGATGTTTGGGATTATTTCACATTGCGGGAGAACAGTTGTCTTCACCATTTTGATGAATAAGTTCCACCTACCCACGTTTTGACATCAATTATTTTTCTATGGCAGATTAAGAAAATTCCTGTCAAGTCACGGGTAACTGGGTAATATCAGAAAAAATGTATATACTTATTCGGCTAACACAATTACTAGAAACTATTACGACGTTGGAAACACGCATTGCAGGGCTCTTTGACTAGTGTGGCGTGTCAAGTTTAAGAGCACGTGGGTGTAGTTCCACGCCAGTGACGACACCTCCTCAGATGAAGTTAAGTCACATCGGACACTCTCAACGTTACAGTATGACTTTAATTCCTTCTTCCAGATGAAACCAACTTCTGCAATTTCACAACTAACGGTCTGGCGTCTTGCCAGAACCCTTATCTGGAGCTGCAGTGTATCGACGGATACGTCGAGTGCCGGTCGCCGTGCAAGCGCGCAATGGACTACTGCAACGACCACGGGGAATGCAGCCAGGCCGACCACGCTAACCCGGTCTGCCGCTGCCTGAACACCGATAGCGAGTGGTACCACGGTGATAGGTGCCAGTATGCGACCGGCAAGGCTGGGGTGATCGCCAGCATCTGTGTGGTGCTGGTATCTCTCCTCATTGCGGTGTGCGCTGCCGTCTATTTTTACAAGAAAAGAAGAAGCCGAAGGAAACGGTAAACAAACCATGATCACTAACCTTTCAGTTTCATCATTATTTGTTCAATAGATGTATGATTGAAGATAAGTCGGTATCTGGTGGTCAGCGCACGCGTCGATTTTGAACGTTCGCAAGGAGACTGATCCCCGGACATAAGTCCGCAAATCGGACAGGCTATTTGTTCAAGGAACCAGACTTATTCACGAGGAGCTCTTACCCAGTGGTAGATTCGTTACGACTGCCTATAATGTTGATGTCGAACACTACTGTTAACAGTAGACTATGGGTAGGTTACAAAGTTGCAGCCAGCTGGTCAGCAACAATGGCGGCATGACGTGCGATGTGCTACTACTAGCCTTTGCTCAAATAAGCCACTCATTTCCGTCTCTGTTAGGCCGAGTTTGGGCGGCTTGATCTCGCATTTTCACGAACAGCTTGATTTGTTCTTGGGTCAGCCGCTCAAACGCCGGGAACGTACAACTGGTTATTGCTGGAAGTTAGTCACAAGCAACAGGCAACATGGCGGCGTCCATGTACGTTATTCGAGAGTTAATGTTTGGATGGTCTGAGTTCTTTTCTATATAAACAGGAACATTCATTTCTGTGTTACAGAAAATATTTAAATGTTAGTTTTGCAAAACTTCCCATTGTCTATGGCTTTGGACGCCATCTCTCTACTTTTTGCAGCTGTTCAAAAATCAAAATCTCACGAGTTTTTCCGTGTGTTCCTGTAAAACCCGAACGAGGAGATGGTGTGTGATCCTGTTCCGAGAACAGTGTTCTTGAGTCGTGTTCCCGCCGTTCGAGCGCGAGAACAAGAAACCCGTGTCAAGAACAGGCCGCCCGAACTCGACCAAAAAGCCCCCCCCCCCCAAAAAAACGCATCACCGCCAAACTTTTTTGGGGGGTGATGTTGAAAGTTTTCGTGTAACTCTTTATGGCCTTTATGAGGGGCAAGGCTGCATTTTGGGACTTTTTACACACCATCAGAAGAAATAGAAATTATGTCGGGGTGGTCCCCCTTAACCCAACTCCCATCCGCCCATTTGTGCATATTGCAGATCCACATGCCAAAATCTTTTATCGAAGCATGGGGAAAACATTAGTTTCTCTCATAAGTGAACTAGAAGTGGCAAAACTGTACCTCAAACCAAACGTATTAATTAGCCAACGGTTACAATTGTCAAACATTGGCTTTCTTTAATCGTGAATACAGTTCAGATCCCAATTTAGAACTTTGTTTATACCGTACATATTTCCAACAATGTAACCTTTTCATTTTCTGTCAAGTCAGTACTAGTTCTCCTTTTTATGTCTATTTTTTTAACATTTTCACGTGACATTGATTTTTGCAGTTCATGGAATCTTTTGCACGATGAGGACAATGACAACTTCGGCGATGACAGTGACGATGACGTCAATACCTTTGTGTGGATGACACAAGTAAGACCAAGTGTATTAGCGTCAAATACAGTAGTTATGGGAATCAAGGAGGAGTGTGGAAGAAAAACACACCCTCTTCGCTCTTCCCTCTCTTTTGTGTCCCCAACACAAGACCGTTCGTCGCGTCCCCAACACATGACGTGACGTCACGACATGACGACGCCCCCTTGCGTTGTTTTTGTTGCTCCCTCTCCATTGTTTTCTTGTACAAACGTGGTACTCTCGATCTAGCAGATATTTCGGTAGGCCTACCTTAATGCCGCCACACACCGTATCGTTTTGCGTTGGGTCATGTTTCGTGCTGTATATATTACCATACTTCGCCGACTCCCTGATCTGTGACTGAGGTGGTTCAGTGACAAGACTTTTTATGACATCACAAATAACCATTTTTTTAGACAAAAGTATTCGTTGGGGTGATCTTTTTATCGTGCAATGCAATATGGAAAAAACGTCAAGACACGACGCACTACGACGCCAAATTGCGCAAAAAAGAAAGTATACCGGAACTAACGGTGCAACGCCGCAGTGCTGCTCGAGAAAACTGTCGTTGCGTAGTGCGCTGGCGTCGTGTAGTTTCTGTCGGGTGTTAAAGAGCTGATATATTGTTAAGAGTACATTACCATGGATTTCCTCTTCAGGCCAAATTCATACTTGACGCCAAAGCAAAAACGAATGCGAGTTGTGACATCAGACCAAATTGTTCGCGCCTGGAATTCGCAAAAACTTGTGAACACATTTCAATGACCAGTGAATTTCTCAACAAATTGTGTCGTGACATCAAATTATCGATCGCCTCGCTTTTGCGTTTGCCTGAAGTATGAACTAGGTTTTCCTCGTCTACGAGAGGATGTGTGGAAAGGCAATGCTTAGAAACACCTTTACCAAAAATGGTCCCTGGAGGTCTTGATGTTGCTGTACCCCCGTTTGACAAAAATGCATATATTGACCTATTAACCGCACGAAGTGAAGCGTTACGTTTATGTGAATTTTTAACGTTTCAGGACCCAACGACTTATTCCTGTGCACGAGGTGATACTACCCTTGGTGGTGATGATGGTAAATATACCTGCTTCGAAATGGAACACCCTTAAAAAAGGAATGAATAGAAAATAGCAGTGGAGTCGTGACAGATACATGATACTTTATTTCAGTTCTGGTGAAACTTCAATATTAGTCTCGTGCTATTCTTCCTGGTGCAAACATGCTGAATATCTCGTTGGTCGCGCCCATCCGACCATTGTTTCTCCCACCCTTTATAATATTTTGTGTTATTTTTCTTGTCATATTTAGTTACCTCTGTTCTTGAAACGATACGATAGCCTTTTTATTCATCATGAATCATCTGCCTTGTGGCATATCGTATATTGTTCATTTTGCTTGACAAATGTCAGAACTCTGATGTACACACAGAGACCAATGAAAGTTAAGTCATATACATGTAATTTGAATTTAGCTGAATTTGGGCTTGAGTTTAAATCTTGGTCTATCAAAACAAATGCACAAGATACATATATGCATCCATTCAACAGAGCCTGAAAGTTGACCCTTGATGGCGCGCTTCCGAAACCCTTGGATGGGAAAAATAACGTGTAAAGGTTTTCGAATTTGTAATATTTTTTCGTTCCGTTTCTTCTTAAAAAATCAAACTTGGAAAAGGGGCTTTGACAAATCTTTGCTGGTACATATATTGATTTATAGAAATTAAAAATTACCTGATCTAAAAAAGAAATGGGCTGCCAAAAATTGACCCATCACTTACCAGAATCTAAAATACATGAAGAACAGTGCAATGCGGCAATCTCGTATATACACAGATGAACATTTACAGTTTGAAGTTTTATGGTAGTCTGGAAAAATGTATAACTCTATAATTATAATATTCAGCCACCCACAGTACACATGCAGCACACAAATCTATTAATCACTACCAATAGACCTTTCTCTAATAAATTCATAATTTTGTACGCATGCGCACAAATGACCTTGGCGGCAGGAAGGGTGAGCGGGCCATTAAAAATTTACAGGGATGCGACTTTGATGATCATTTTCTCTCAGCTTTTCTGGCTTTGTTCATTTATTTCTTCAGAAAATCCCATTAAATCGTGTTCGCTATTAGTTTCTAATTGAAGTGAAATTTTTAGTGCTCTTTAAAAAGACTTGTAATCGTAATTTTTCCTGTGCGCACGAGATTGCCGTTTCTTAGTATGGCCCCCATCCATCATAATTAGTATAAACTACATTGTTATGTTCTTGGAGTCAAGCTGTGGATTTGTAAAATGCGTACTTATGTTTAATGTACATGTACATGTACCGGTATTGTACCCATTCGATTTCGCTGCTTTCTGCACTTGGGAAATCTGACGAACCAGATCCTTTTCTCTTTGGAATTTGCACTTAGTCTTGTACAACCCCAAATACAACAACTTTATACTGTCTTTCGGTAGTACTCTAAGCTATGGCCGAGTTCAATGGTAAGCTATGTACGTACAGAATACATGTACATTGGACATCACAAAACGCACAGGTTGGCTCCAATAACCTTAACAATGTAGTTTATACTACTGATGGTGGAAGGGGGCCATACTAAAAAACGACGATCTCTTGTGCAAAGGAAAATTACGAATATAAAGTCTTTTTACAGAGCAATAAAAATTTCACTAAATTACAAACTAAAAGCAAACACGGTGGATTTTCTGAAGAAAATACCGAACAAAACCAAAAACCTGAGAGAAAATGATCATCAAAGTTGCACCCCTGTACATTTTCAGTGGCCCGCTCACACTTCTTGCCGCCAAGGCAATTTGTGCGCATGCGTGCATATTTATGAATTTATTAGTGAGAGGTCTATACCTATATCCTGGATATTCTATACGCTGCTTGAAATCCTAGCCAATTCTAGAAATATCTTTCTGAAAATTGATGCGTGTAAAATGATTGACCATATATGCATGACGGAATTACTGTATCTCTAGAATTCCAGCTCTTAAAATATACTACACTAGACTGTTGTTCTTTTGATTTGAAAGGTGAATGTACGGTTTCCGACCATAAAGGCGTCAGTCCTCATTAATGTGAAGCACGAAAACACTGAAAATATATGTATACGTAAATTTGACCTAGAGACTCCTCATTGAAACTTAATTCGGTCCATTGCACTCTTAAAGAGCAACTGCTAAGAAAAACGTGTCCCTAAATAATTTGTCTCGCCAGTACAGGAAGCACAAGCGCTGGCCCGCAGTGTCGTGTTTGACAAAAACTGCATGTCGGCAAAAGTTTGACGATGATGTCCTTGAGGATATGCTTTCCATTTCTCTGACCATGAATTGAAGTTGGAGTTGTAGCGTATAGCTGGTGTAAAAAGCGCCCTCATACAGGAGACAATCCATAATATGCACGAGCAGTGATTTTCCAGGATCCAGACAGGCCGAAATGGTCAACAAGTTTTCAGTGACGTGTGGAAGTTATAATAATGTTCAAATATTTCTGTGACACTGACTTATTCGTTCGGTTTTTTTTTTAAGTGGGCCGAGCCCTGTCCACGATTGTTGGGTCAGGGATCCTGGCAAATAGCACACCGTGATGTTAGCTATCGATGGTCACCAAAATGACACAGGTGTCATCTCATTTTACTCTACAAATGTCATCTTCGTGATGGCTTGATTTCTTCAGATCACTTCAGCATATGTTCACAATAATTTTCCCTCTTGCAACCCCTCCCCTTATCCCCAGAACTCTGTTGCCCTCTTGTGCCCCCTCCTCCCTGAGAAGAGCATGCATGGCTCGGCTACGCCACTGCTCTGAATGGGCGGAATCGTTTCGTCCAGGAACTACATTAATTAAATCGTAGGACATTTATTATTTGGTGTCCATGCTTGTGCTAAATACCATTCAAAATGTAACGTCACAAACTTCTACGTATGTAACTTAATAGTCTCCCACAACAGGAGATAAAACAAGAAGCACTCCACTTCTCCTATCAGATGTCGGAAGCTGCGGTTATTGGTTTACTATCACCTCAAAGTGTGTGTGAATAATTGTGTGTTCAGGTGGATTAGCCGTGCCGATCAATATCAAGGCTGGCTACCGCAGAAATGGACGCTTAGCATTCCAGACTTTGAACCAGCCCGCCCAAGTTTCAATTGCCTTCAGCGCGGTCTTTTTAAAATGAAATTAACCATTAACCAGAGCTCATTAATGACGTCATGGTTGAAAATCCCAATTGCCCGCTCAATAATAGCGTGAATTGCTCACTGCTGCAGTCACTGTGCCAACAAACGCACGAGCGCTGCTTGTTCATTTCGTGGTACCACATCCTTGGGTGTAAATTGTCGCCTACATTGTGCAAAGCATCATGGCGGGTATTCATCTGAACTTGAGACTGGCATTGACGACCCTAATGATTCTGGCTTTACTGGATTTCTCCACTGGACAAACAACCACGAGAACGACATCTGGCACATCAGTGACACTCCCTAGTACCAGTCCAGGTAAGGTTAAATTCTCTCTTTGAGATCTTGATTGCGGCAAATGTCCCAATTGGATTTCAATCCCATTCGTTATTATACACATTTCCTCTCGTGTACACTGCGTGTACTTGCATGCCCGGAAAATTTTCTGCCGGGTTGTGTTTTCAAAAATCCGCCGTTCTGTCACTATTTTTTTTCTCGGACGTTGGTGGGATGATTTCCTCACCTCCAGATTGTTTTTGGCTGGAGAATTTCGTCTTCTGAGACCACAGAACCAAAATTGGGACTTGAGTTTGAGAGAACCAAGGAGTACCCTAAATTTGGATTCATTTCAAATCCCCAAGCAGTTTACCTTATAATAAAGTGCTTCTGTTGGTTGCATAATGGCAATGACTGCGCGGATCGGTTGACTTTCATTAATTAATGAGAAAAATTGAGAGTGCCCATGCATATCTAGCATATACTATTGTATAGCAAAACAAAGTTATCTCTAAGAATTCTATTATGATATAGTTTTGTGCATCAATCTGCACCAATGCGTCTGGGTAATTCCAGAAATTAGGGGTCCAAAAGTGTGACATTTTCGTGTCCCTGTTACATCTGACTTTTGTTATTTGACGTGGAAATATCACCGGAATTGATTTCAAACCATTATTTGTTTGGCAGGTAATTTGCATCAATTCATCACTCTTGGAAATTAGAAACTGTCTCCTGAACTTACAAAATTATATGTCAAATGTAACAGGGACACGAAAAAAAAGACCCCTAATTTCTGGAATTACCCATATACTAGTGGTTTAGCAGGAAACTATAACCACGTCCAATCTAACTCTAATCTCTGTTTTTCACTCGCCCGGTCAATTTAAAGGCGGTGTATCCTTAGTGTTGCATTCAATTGAAAGACCCTCTTTCAAAAACTGCATCTTAATCATCTTTTTCATCAGTAGTATACATTAAATGGAGTCAGTATACACTAAATTGACATTTATTTTTGTTCCGTCTAAACTGACGCCTTCGATTAGTCTTCAGATGTATTGTCAGTGTCAAAACTGGTTGCTTATTGTCCACCATGCATACCTCAAATTTTCATATTCCCCATTGCTAAGGTAGCCACCAAAACCGAATTACAATGCAACAATTTTTTTTCCTGGTTTCACTCCATTTTAAAAAACAATTCCCCTTATCCGTCTGTTGTTGATGTTTCTCGTCGCATTTTCGGTCACATTGTTCTGAGGTGCATTACATCAGCGTTGTGTGGCAGGGTCCATATTTTCATCATGAACTGCTCAAACCAATTTCAACTATCCCGCATTAATTAAGTCATCCAAAATAAGATTACAGTATACCACAACGGCGTTGCTCGTATCAAGTACTTCGAAACTGCCGAGACCTGACACAGTTCACAGAAACCGAATAGGGAAGCCAACCAGTCAAATAAAATAACAAGGGAGTGGATATTTAGTCATGTACTTCATGTAAACTATGGGGGGAATGACCCAATAACAAAATAATGAATGATGCTTCTCTTCAGTATGTTCTAATTTAGCTCATGAACTCGCTGGTGGTGGGTGCAAAGCCTGTATGAATGTTAAAAACCGCAAAGGTAATAAAATTTAAAATTGCCTTTAAATGCCTTTATCTTACCCAAGTCACCAAACTGAAGAAGATGAGTCTGATTGTTCAATACTGGATGAATGAGTCTCATAACACTTCCCAATATTAGCTAATAGCATCCATGGTTATAGACAAATTATAGACAAGACTAATTAAATAATTAAATTCATGGAAGGGATTCCTTAGACTATTGTCCTAATGAGCGTTGAGTTCTTTTACATAACTTTATAGTGAAGAACTTTGTGAAAAGGATGACATGATTTCGAGGATTCAGAGAATTGAAAATTCCATGCCATGAAGCAAGATGAATGTCGATAAAGTTTAAAGTAAGGCGTGACCAAAATGTTAAGGCTGCAAAGCTTTTAAAATCAAACCAATATATTCCGTTTCTCTATAGTCAGAGGGACGTAAGTCCATAGATACGAAAAGTAAAACTATCCTTATATAATATGTATATATAGGGGCGTTTCATAGATAAGCTTATTAATCTCTGTAGCAGGAATAGTTTATCACGTACACAGCTACAGAAGGAGGCGTGCCACGATTAATGAGTAACTCAACAAATACAGGAATATCAATTGTTCCCACACAGTTAATTTACGCTGTAGTCTTGATTTCAGCTTCTTGATTTCAGCTTCTTTAGTTCATTTCATTTCAGAATCAGCTGGCAAGCGATTGGACCCGGGAAATGATACCTTTTTAAAATGAACGAGTCACCCAGGATTTCAAGAAATATTTGAGCAAACTAAGGCCTGTCCCGATGGGTTACGTGGTGTTGAAAATATTCGCAAACCGACGGACTGAGTGTCCTTCTATACTCTAGCGAGCGCGGAAGAAAAATAACACTGACTTTTATTCATGCAGGACAACTGCTGACAATACGAAATCTGTTTGTGACCAGATGGATTTAGGAGAAATTAAAACAACCTCGAGATAGAGCAAAGTACTTATTTATGAACCCTAAAAAGAAGGGTCATTTTGGACCATCTCACAGCAAGAAGGTGATTTCTGCCCCCGTCTCTCCCTCCGAACTCGGCCGTCCCATACGTGTTTTCTTGTAAAACTAAGCATGTACTTAAACACAATCTGTATCGGTACAAATAACAAAGTTTCAACAAAATCCAACACGCGGTTTTTTATGGGTAATTTGAAGGCCACAGACATGCCTGCCCAGTTGTACTGAGCACGGCAATGCGAAATAATACATCGTGACCTGTCTAGAGTGGGCGTTGCCCGAGAATGATGTTTGATTTTCACATCTGCATGAATATGGTTGAGCATGCTATGTGGAAATTGCCCAAACCCCAACTGCGAGTAGGGTGGCCTGTCAGTCACAGTTACAGATTTCTAACTGCCTTGTGAAAATCATTCGACATCGGCGATTCAAATTTTCTTGAGAAATTTGAACTTACTTGTCATGTTTTAGTGCCTGAAATCTAACAAAAAACCAAAGGGTGTAACGATGTGCGTCACGAATAGCTTTCAAAGTCGTATCTGTTCGTAGTGTTACGATGTGGTTCGAATGGGCGTCGTCCGATATCTCGGTACTAAATTTTTCACCGGGTTGCGGATTGCATGGCCAATAAAAGTTTAATCTTGATACCGTCGGAAGTACAAAGGTCAAAAACTTGGAGATAAAGGTGTACATGTATATGAACCACGTCAAAATTGCAGACATTCCACATCAATTAAAATGGATCAGTACCTGCCAACCGTCAAGAGGCGTATTACAAGGTTGTTAGAAACCGTCACATTACTTTTTGGCTAAAAAGTGTTTGTTTGCCTAACTGCGCCATCTTTTGTCATTGCTTTGAAGTTACTCCGGAGAGCCTTAAACACTGCACACACCCAGCTGTTGATAGGTTTCACAGCACGTTGAGATTTTGCTGTTGACAAACTATGACTTCTGATACCGAGCTATACACTGCAACGATCCGTTCTTCATTTTATTTTCCCTATGCGGAGTCCACGGAAAAAGAGTTGTGCAATAAATCAGCCGCAGGGGCTAGTTTATTGTACGAATGCTCTGCGTTACTAAGAATCCAATATTTATTCTCAAACACCTCACCATGAATACCTAAGTGGCTTCTGGATGATCGGAGTGGTTTTAGAACTGATTTGAACATTTACTACGCACCCTTCCTTTCCCTCCTGAGCTACTTACAGAACCTCTGTAATTAACAGTTTACAGAACCTCTGTAATTAACAGTTTACAGAACCTCTGTAATTAATATAAACGCAAAAATTAGAATTCATTAGTCTACTCAATTTCCAATTCACGCTGTGATCGAAGGGTAGGGTTTTTATGACATTCAATTTTACTTTCGCACAAAAAGATTTTGTTCCTTTTATTTATTTCATTGATAAAATATCCCATTTATGTCATCAACTTGGCAGTGATCAGTAACAATTTTAAATGTGGCTCATTTGGGGGACAGTATAAAACATCGCTAGTAAGTTTTTCAGGGTTATTTTAAATTATTAAATTTGAACTGACTCACTCGAAATTGTATTTCCCAAACGGTTTATCTCGATGCCTAAAGAAGCGCTTTCTCATGAACACTGATAAAAACTGCAGTATATAGACCACGTTTTGGGTTCATTATGAAGACGTGTACATGCATTAGAATCGATCGAATTGATATTCTAATAAATCCCAGTCAACCTCTGAAACCTCATTCACTCTACGTCAGTGACGCACCCTATGATATTGCCTGTACCGGGCACGAAATGGGACAGAGGGGTACCCCCCAACAAGTCCAATCCCCATACACACTCCAGCCTATTGTCACTTAACACATCCCCCCTAGATGTCTGAAAAGAATTCCTGAGATACCAGTGTGATAATGACCAACACAAAGGTGGGGAGGGGTTCTTTCTGTCCCATAGTTTGCTTCATATATGATATTGCCAGTTCATTATATACCTTAATTTTTACAGTAAGTACAAGTATGTTCCAGGATTAATGTTACAATTTTGAAGGTCTTGCAAATGTTTTACTCCATTTTAAACAAGTTTACAAATCCTGAAGCTGCAAACATTTTGATCACCTCCTGCAAATCCTATTGTAGGAGAACAGATGGTAATTCCTGCAAAGTGGATCCACCACAGGTTTCTTTTATAATTTATAACATTCTGCAAACATTTCTGTTGACATTCTTTCTCTTAAACTTACTCTAAATCTAGGTTTTCATATCGTCAGTTATGTGTCTGTTCCATTGATTCCCATTACCGGGTAAAAAGATAGCACCAAAAATTATTGGTTGCAAATTAGCAATTCCTGTTATCATTCGAAGTATTCTACGTAATTGATGAATTCCTGGAAATTTGTTTCACTTCAATTTGTATTACAATTTGGCAATTCTTCAAGAACTTCTCAAACAAGTAAAAAAAAAACCAGGTTTTCTTTGCTTTTTTACACCAGATCCATAATCATAGTTACGATCAGTTCTATATGTAGCCAGATCAATAAAAGACCAGGTTACCTTGTTTATAATTTTGATGTTCCACTCAACAAAATTTAACACATTTGAAATCAACATACTTTAAAACAGATTTGGTTTCTATTTAACACAATATATTTCCACTGCCTGGTCTGATAAAAAGTAAATTGAAAAACCGATAAATCGATTTTGTACAAATCCATAATTCCTGTAAATAACGTGTTTGTTTCCATGTCATTTGTAAACTTGTACAATTATGGAATTTCTAACAAATATTTACAGCACATGTTCCTCGCCAAAAAACACGAACTTTCTCATTTTTTCTGCTTCGTATTCATACTTCAAACAAGTTTTAATATGCAGATCATTCAAGTACGTTCCACTCAGTTTTGTTTCAAGTTTACAATGTCTTCAATTATTCCAGTCTTCTGTAGCAGGACAACAGAACATACATTTTCAAATTGGTATGGTTGCTGTCATCATTCCTGGCTGTGGGCGATAAGCCTGAAAGGAAAATATTGGAATGATTTTTGTCGTCTGACCTCCTGCATCTGTCAAACTTGATATGAAGGCTGCCAAAACAGTACTTCACGTAATGGAACTTGTCACCAACATGGCCTTCATAATTAGAGTCATCATCCACTATGCCCTGTTTAGAATTGACTCTATCCTGCACATCATAATCAGCAGCATCAAAGTCGCACCCATCAACTACAGCATCAACACCTTGCCCATTCTCAACATGAGCTCCTTGATGATGAAGTACTACAGCCCATATGACAAATTGCAGATAGGACGTATTTTGTTGGGGAAATGCAGTAAAAGCTGAAAAGAGTCTTTCAATCCGTCAACTGACTTGTAACACTCTGAAGCACGTGAAACTAATCAGAAACTGCAGCTGGTTCAGCTCTACATGTACATATCAGTATGATCGTCATTAAGAGACACCTCTCTCCCATTGGCACTGCCTTGGTTTCTCTTCTGATATGTCTTGTAACGCTCAGTAAACCGAAGTATAATCCCAGATTTGGGGATGAGCTCTTTAATTGTGTCTGCATCAAGTCCAAAGCTGTCTTCACCAACACAGTTATCTGAAAAATCTAAATGTGCCTACAATCCACAAAATGTGCCCATCTAACAAACACAAGAAGGCCTTACAAAAGCCCACTAGGCCTATAGTGTCATGAAGTATACTCTTCAAAGATGAACTATTTTTTACGAGTTCGTTTAGAGATTTTTTTTTTCCCAAATTTGTGTTTGGGGATTTTTTCTTGGTTTGTTTTGAAGATTTTCTTTCAAGTTTGTAATTTGTGAAATTTCTGTTTATTTTTCTCCATTCCCAAGACACAAAATGGAAAAAATTCCAAAATACAAACTAGGACGAAAACTTTAACCCAAAAAACTTTTGAAGAAGCTCCAAATATCTAAACTTGGAAAAAAATCTCAAATCAACCTTGGAAAAAATCTCTGAAATGCAAACTTCGAGAAAACTCTCTTTGAAAATGTATAACGTTACTTATGTACTTCATAGCACTAGTAGAAGTGCAAGTGTTTTCCTACCCAAGTAGATAAGCATTGAGTTTCATTCAAATGTAATGTTAATGTACATGCAGTACCTCAAGATGTTTGATAATAATATTGCCTAGCCTACCATACATGTACATGCCTTTATTGAAGGACTAACTTGGCTTGAGTTACAGGCATGTCCAATGTTTTCAGCTAGGCAAGCTTGCTTATGCCTATGTGGTACGTGGTAGGCCTAGGCCTTGTCTTATTGCCAAAATGGTTTATGATGCCATTTGAACAACAGACACGGCGTCCATGTAAAAGCCATTCCAGTATTCCACGTAGAAGCTGTGTCACGGCCACTCTAACACGAGTGTACTGCCTGGTAAAAACAAAAAGCCAGGCCCAATCGGTTATTACACCTTTTTCACCGGCCTATCGATCCCTTTTACATCCAGAACTAAAAAAAGTACCCCTGAATGTGTCGATAAAATCAGGAAATCAAAGAGACGTCAAGAAGATGTCTGCAGAAAGTCGTCCGCCATTATGTTGAAAGTGGGCATGTATAAAAGTTAGAATATAATATAAAATCAGTATATATCAGTAAATATCAGTGCTCTGGAATATGTGATTGCCGAGCTTTAGGTGAGTACCTTCTTCAGGGCAAGCAAATTATGCTTGTCAATATTCTGATCACGGTGCTACGCAGCCCTTCCATATTTCATGTATGCAAGTTAGCGTTGGCGTTAGAATCGCGTGACACGCGCACCCTTTGACATCACATTAAACAACAGTTAACCAAAATAATTTTGGGGTTGGATTCAACTGCGTTTTAAACAGTGGCTGTTAACTGCGTGGCACGCACTTGAAAAAACTCTTAAATAATCTAAACAATCATTTTCTAAACAATCATATTTTAAACAGCGTTTAAACCAAAGATCGTATAGCGCCGAAGGCGCAAGATGGATAACTCTGCCCAAACGGTGTAATTACCATGGGCGCCATTTGAGCAAGCGATACGCCTGCGCAGTTTACGGTAATGCTTCAGCGCAAGCTTACTAGGTGCACGTGCCTGCTGCGGCGCCTGCGCCTTTGCATTAATGTGTATTGCGCAGGCGTATCGCTTGCTTAGATGGCGTCTATGCGATTACAACGTTTTACGTGTATTCACGGTGAAGTTCGCCATCTTGCGCCGCTACGCGGCGCTATACGATCTTTGGTTTAAACCGTGTAAAGGCATCAAACTGGTGAGTGGTGTCAAATTGGACTAAATATCATTTAAGATTGGGATTTGTTTGTGATCCTGTCCGTGTTAGGGGTTAAGCTTGATTTTTCTAAAGGTGATGCATTTCATACTAACCGAGGACAACCTTGCATATTTCTTCACATGTTCACAATTATTTTTTATTAGGCAACTTGACGACAGAGCAGCTGGAGATGCAGAGTACTCCTGCTATAACAACTATCCAACCTCCAACAATATCTGATACATCAGACATGTCCCCGACAAAGCAGCCGGAGGTTCAGACCA